CACAGTCAGTACGTCTGATCGCACACACACACACACACACACACGCGCGCGCGCGACCTCAGCTTGCGGGGGAGGCGGGTTGCTTTTGCTGGATGGCAAGGCGGCAGAGCTCACGTTGCTTCGGATCTGTGTCGTAATGTGTTGTTGTTGTTGTTGTAGGGAAGCACGCGGAGGATACCTCAAACTCGGATCGGCTGTTTGGCCCGTTGAAGACTTCTCGCGCACCTGCCATCCTTTGCAGGCTATCGGTGCTACTGCCTGACAATGGGCTGAGCGTGGAGCCTTTGCCTTTTTTCTTTTCCCATCGCCAGCCGTGTCACTGGCGCTGCTAGCGCTCTCTATCGGGATATAAAGTCTTTGGACAGGCATGGCCAAGGACGCCGCTCGAGCAGGACCGCGACGGGGACGAGCGCCTCAGACCATGCTACAGGACATGGATCCAAACACTGACAAGCTGCAGGGCCACTCGCGCACCAGCAGTGCGGCCTCCTCAATTGGTGTCGCCCCCGTCCCCTTTGAGCACGCCAATTCCATCAATGCCCAGACGCTTCGCCAGTTTCCTCGCCGGTTCAGCATCGGGATTGACATTGGTGGCACCCTGACCAAGATTAGCTATTTTGAACCTGCCCCGATCCCAGGCGAGCCTGAAGTGGATACCCGCTTCCGCGACAAGATCCGCGACCTGATACGTGCCGATGAAACGTATGGTGAGACGGGCCAGCGTGATGAAGCCTTTGAATTCTTCTCCGAACCCTTGCAAGGTCGCTTCTACTTTATGTGCTTTGAAACACGCAAAATGGACACCTTCCTCGCCATGATCCGCGAGCGCGATATTCTGCGAGCCGATACCATTGTATGTTGCACAGGTGGTGGGGCTCGCAAATATGCCCAAGCCATACACACCCTCCTCGATGTCGATCTTCCCCGAACCGACGAACTTCAGTGCTTGGTCGATGGCGTCAACATCGTCCTCCAACATCCCCTGAAAGAGCTCTACCGCATCGACCATCGATCCTATCGGTGAGCCTTGCCTCTCAAACCCTCAAACTCTCAAACTTTCCCTCTCATTTCTCTCTCTCTGGACGCCCCCTCCTTCTCGAGACATACATACACCCATGAGCACACATGCAAATGTACACTGTGTGTGTGTGACACTTGGCAGACACCCAAACTTGATTCATCACGTGCCATGTGTGACCCCGGTTAATTCTTGCAGGCAGACGCAAAGCAGGAGCTGGGTTGACATGTCCCATAGCCTCTTCCCCCTCCTCCTCGTGAACATCGGCAGGTGCGCGTCATTGTTAATGCTGGGCATGACGTCCCTGCCCCATGATTCGTCGATTCTCGGATTTCGCCCACCCCACAGAGCCCGCATCGCAAAGCTTGTTCAAGACACCACTCACTCAGCTCCGTGATCTCTGACCAACAGCGGCGTGTCAATCCTCAAGGTTCATGCCGATGGCCGCCATCAGCGAGTGGGTGGCACTGCCATTGGTGGCGCCACTTTCTACGGCCTATGCGCAGCGCTCACTAGCTGTGATTCCTTCGACGCAGGTGCGAGCTCGCACTGATAAGATTGATCATGAACGCTGGCAGGCCTGCGATCAACCTCATGCCCCAGGTCCATTTTTCTTGTCCCGCAGCCCTGCAGCTCGCAGCCCAAGGAGATGCGTCCCGTGTTGATCTCTTAGTCGGTGACATTTACGGTGGCGACTACGAAGAATACGGCCTCAGCTCAAGTATGCACCGCGCCTTTCTAGCCCATATTCGCCGTACTTGCTGTACTTGCTGTTGGCCTCACGCTTGTGGCTTGCTAGAAACTGTTGCCGCGTCCATGGGCAAACTAGTGCGCCCCAAAGACCGGGCCGTGGCTGAGAGTGCCGATATGGCTCGCGGCCTGTTGGACTGCGTCACAAACAACGTGGTATGCTTGCAACAATGACCCGCCTTGCACCCATCGTGTCGTCTAAATCCCTCATGCTACCCGACCTGCACACGCACCGCCTCGGCTTGCTCCAGGCTTCGTTGGCATTCCTCCATGCCAAGCAGCAGGACATTCAACACGTGGTCTTTGCAGGCAATTTCTTGCGTCACAACGACATCTCCAGTACGTGCCGACTCACGCCTCGCTCATGTTTAGCCCCTTCCGCTGCACGCTTCGACAGCCAATCTGCGTTTTCCACTGTTGATTGGAGCTCGCGGCTCATCGATATTCATATCCTACACGACGCATCTGCCATCGTGTCAATAGTGGTCCGGCTGACGGCTGCCTTTGACTTTTGGTCCAAAGGCGAGCTCAAGGCTCTTTTTCTTAACCATGAAGGTTGGATCCCTGGCTTCCTTGCCGCTTGCTGTCACCACGTAGCTCGATGGTCTGATCCGCTTGAAATGCTAGCTAACATCTCTCTCTTGTCTGCTCGCCTGTTCTCCAATGTCAGGCTACCTCGGGTCGATGGGTGCGCTGGCCTATGGTGCCATGCACCTCACCACCCCCGGTGCAAGAGACCCTGACAACTCAACGCCAGAGCCGCCATCTGCCACCTCCTCGTGAATTGTGTAAGAGAGACTAAACCAAACTTACAGTATTAAGAACCCAAAACATGCACCGACCAACTGAGTCGTGATACGCATTAGGCGCAAACTGCGCAACCGTGTACGTGGTGTGCGATTGGGCGCTCCTCGAGCATCGAGCAAAAAGAAACCTGCGCGTGCCAATGCACCCCTCGCAATGATTCGCGCGCCCGGACAACAAAAAAAGACAAAATGATTGCGATTCGGAGATACATTGCATGAATCGATCAAATTTTCAAGACCAGACGGCGTGTTGACGCTGCGTTGCGCTGGCAATCGGCCACAGATTGACTGGAACACACAGCAGTAGTCGCGATTGATATTGGATGCACAAATATCATCACGAACAAGAGAGGGCTCCAAACGGAACACAGTGCGCGTGAGCTTCATAATAGTGCTCCCATGGCATGCATCAAGTTATCACGTTTTGCTTTACAAGTGACCAATTCGAACAGTAAAGTACTTTCCCTCGAAACGGTAGACCTGCGTAGTGGGAAGCCTACCGCTTGCATGCATCTCACGATTATTCGGTGAGCTCGACAGTTCAAATCACATTCTTGAGAGCATAAAAACACTTTTGGTCAAAATTCGCGAAAAGAAATGATAAATTCAACAAAAACTAGACTCAAATTTAAATGAGAGCAGTCGAGCCAGCTAAGACGTGGTCCCACTGTTTGGCAGTACAGCACTTTCCCGCTTACTCGTGCCAGGAAGACCTGTCTTATTTGATGGCAAACGAGATAAATGGGAAAGGATCGGTGGCGCCCAGCAAAGGAATCAGAGCTGGTAAAATACGCTCAACAGTCTGTCTCTTGCGGATCACCTTAATAAGACGGCGGGCCAGCTACTCGGTAGGTGGCAAACACATCACAGTGCCCGATGTCATTTCTCGCGTCCTGCTTAGGCTCGAGTGGCCGGCCCAATTTCGTCGGCCAACCGCATTTCAAGCTCATGAACGCGATCCATGTGCTGGCTCAGCATGTCTTTAGTGCGCTGATGCTGGGTTTCTCGCTCCATGAGCTGCTGTTGTAGCTTTCGCATTTCCCGGACATCCTCATCTATCACCAGCTGTGCTTTCTGCGCAAGCCCACACAGCGAAGAACCAAGTGGATGAGACAACAATGTCAAGAAGACTACAATGGCATTGCTCCACGACGTGGGGGTATCCAGAGGCTTACATCAATCTGTTCGTTGGCCGTGCTGAGCTCGTGGCGGACATCATCAACCTGCAAGCGTGTCAGCTGGAGCTCGTGTTGAGCTTGACGTAGCTGCGCGGCCACCTGTGCCTCCCGGTTGCGCGCAGCATCTAGCTGTCGCTGAATCTCGTTGACATGCTGCTGCAATGCCGCTTCCTGGCCTTGTACAAGCTTCATCTTGCCAGTTTCGCTCAGCTGTAATTGATGCTCCAGCTCCTGAATGCGGTGCTGCAGCTTGCGCTGTTGGCGCTCACCGTGGCTGACAGCACGGTCACGATCAGCGTCGGCCGTACTCAGTTGTTCACGCAAGCGCTGCTCTGTTGCGGTTGCCGCCGCGGCCGTGTCCTCGGCTTCTTCACGAGCCGCTTCGAGCTCGCGAGTCAGGCTAGCCTGCTGCTCGCGCAAGACCTCAATCTACATTTATGTACAAGCCGGCCAGGACGGGTGATGGCAGCGTCAAAAGTATTTTGTGTGATCGTAATGCTGGTTTGTTTCACCAAAGCCGAGCACGGAAGCCCCTTATGCAGCTTACCTCAGCGCGCAAGCTACGAGTGCGTTGATGGAGCTCATTGTGATGTTCAGCGTCGCGCTTCGTTGCTTGCTCAACTTGCAGCTACAACCCCCTCCCCCGTTTGAAAACACCAATGAGGCAACATGCAGATTGCTGCAAAGCTCGATAGAAAAGACACGGCAAACAATACAGGCAGGTAACGCACGCGAAGCTCATCGCGCTGCTGCTGGACAGTAGTCATGCGCTGCAACAGATCTTGGTAAGCGCGCTGAGCCGCCACAATCTCATCAAGGGGTTGTTGTTCAGCCTACATTTCATGTTTGTTAGCGGTTGAGCGCCCACAATTTGACAATACATTCCGATTCCTATTTCAGGTCTGTGTTTTGTTCCCAATATTGAACCTACTTTGCCAAGCGCATCGCGAAGCTTGCGATTAGTCTCGGCCAGCTTGTCCACCTGAGCTTGCAATGCTACGCGGTTTTCTTGTTCAGTAGCCAGCGCGTGCTCCAGCTTGTAGACTTGTTGCCCCGGGTTTTCGGGCTGTCGGTTTGCACGTTGAAGTTGGCTTTGAACCTCGGCAAGCTGCTTCTCCAGCTCGACAACACGCGCATCTGTCTGGGTTCTGTGCACGACGAGGTGATGCCCACATGAGTGAGAGACAGCAGGGGGTGGAGGGTGGAGGGTGAGAGAGATTACAAAGAGAGAGAGAGAGATGTTGAATAGAGGGCTGAAGCGGCAAATCAAACATTCTTATCACTTGGAGCACGCGTACCTGGTCTTGTTGGAGATGGTCTGCAGCTCTGTTTGCAAGTGCTTGCATTCGTTCGATCGTTCAGTCAGTTCATGCTCTACGCAATCATCAACCATTGCGTCAGACCGTATCAACGTGCGCCTGTCAAGACTGGTGTCAGCCGTCGCCGACCTCTTTGTGCGAGTTGCGTCTGAAGGCGTTGAAAGGCTTCCTGACGTGCCAGTTCGTCCTTCTCTGCAGCCTTGCGCCTAGAAAGGGAAGAAGCGTTCACACACACACAGAGAGTTTCAACCATGGTGCATCTGCTTGACGCCACACGCCAACTAAATATCTCCCAATCTTTGGAGAAGAAGGGACTGACTGTTGTTCAGCTTGAAGACGATCGCGCAAGACTTGCTCGACTTGGGCTTTGAGATCCTGCAGCATGCTTGTCCTAGCCATTCAGGCACCCAACGTTAGTGTAATCTTGCCATCAGTTGCTTCTCAGGAGCAGTCTTGAATACCTGCGGTCTAGCATATTACGTGCGTCGTTCAGCTCGCTCTCCTAGTGTCGCAAAAAGGCCCCAGCTGCCGTGAGTTGACGCGCGTGTCTTGACCCTTTCAATTTTTTGAAGAAGGGTTTGCAAGACTACAAGAGCCATGGCGTTCCACCTTATTTTGCAATGCAGCCGTTCGGGCTTGCAGCTGTTCGCGTAGTGCTTGGTTGGTGGTGGCGAGGTGATGGTTCTCCTCCTGCAACAGGATGACCCGATGCTCCAACACGGGGTTTGGCGTCATCCCGCCGTAGTGCACCGTAGCTTCGGGATCGGCATCAAAGGGATGAACCATTCTGCCGATGCGCTCACAATCACCAACCCCCGTCAGCCTGCCTCTGCCCCTCTTTGCCACCTGTCTTAGCGCCGCGATGAAGGATATCGGAGAAAGGACCCGCAGCACGTCTGGGTGCTGCGTGTGTGTGTGTGTGTGTGTGTGTGTGTGTGTGTGTGTGTCGAAAAAAAATTTAAAATTTCAAAGTTTTGCGATGCTGACAATTGTCTGAAATTGTACTTTTAACATTGGAGGGGTTGTGTTATGAAAGACCTTTTTCATTTTTTTTTTGAGTACGACGACAGTGGTTTTGAGAAGGGCGGCGGTGTTGACTGCTGTGGTCTTGCTCGGGCTTGCTCGGGCTTGCTGTTGATGGGCTCGGTTGGATTGATTGGGATTGGGGTGGCGAGAGTTGCATTTGTAGGGTGGTGTGGGCAGGGCATCGCTTGGAGGGGTTGGGGTGGTGGTGCGTGGCTGGGCCGAGCGCAGTCCATCATGGCCGAGGTGGTTGATACGACGCTGCGACCGAAGCTGATCACGATTGGGCAGCGCCAATACCGCACGACGTTGCCAGATGATGGTGAAGCATGGGTTTTTGGAGAGGACTCCGTTTCTGGCTCGACGGCAAGCCGCTCAAGTGGTGCTGCGGCAAGCGGTAGCGTTGACCGTGATGCGTACCCAACCAACGCCAAAGGTGTATACGAATTCTCGATCCGGGTGCCGCCTGCGCTTCATGGTGCCATCATTGGCCGAGGGGGCTCCAAGTTGAAGCAATTGCAGGACGATACGGGGGCGACGGTCAAGCTACCTAGGCGCGGCGCCCATAGTGATAAAGTCATCATATCTGCCGCCACCCCCGAGGCTATCGACTCGTGCCGTGCGCGTCTCGAAATTATGGTGGAGGAAAGCAAGGCCAAGGCACCCATCACACACTTCGTATCTCTTCCCTTGGCCAATCCTGCTCTGACGGAGCGCGTGGCCGAGTTCCGCGCCTATATCCACGACGCCGGCCTCGACGAGGTGGGCACCCATACTTCTTGTGCTCTACTTCATGTGATGTAGCAGACTCAGCTCACAAGTGTGCGGCACCACGGCGCACCTGACTGCAGGGCTGGGACGACAAATGGTTTGTTGAGCCCGAGAGCTTACATCTTACGTTGTGCGTGCTCAAATTGTTTGAGCCTGGGGAAATTGAGCGGGCTCTTGCCACCCTGAGTCAGAGCCTGCAGCGAGTGCGCGAGCTTCCGGGCTTTGACGACGCTGCGCGACAGGTCCATCTGAAGGGCGTGGCCGTGACTGGGGACAATCCCAAGAAGGTCGGCAAACGTGCCAAGCAACTATTGTGATGCCGAGTGAAGGGGGGGGGGGGGGGGGGGGGGGGGTTTTTTCCCCAAAAAAAA